GTGCAACATTGGTGAACAATTTGCAGAGGTTTACTGTTGTATGCCTCCTTTACATTTATGCAGAGCGCAGCAAGGGGGCGCTGTCGACAGTACCACGCAGCAGCGCGACCGCCAGGAGGCGCCACTACCTACGAATGCGACGAACTGGTAGAGGATCGGAAAACAAAACAAAATAGAACCAAATGCGACTGGCAGAGAGAGTGCTAGAGCAGCTGGGAAAACGTTTAGAGGGGCTGGTGTTGAATGACATCCACCATTACACTCACGTTCTCATTGGTAAGCAGGAGTAGTAGGTATAGCAGGTATAGAGAGAGCGGGATGGAGCGAGAGAGGGAGGAATGGAGAGATAGAGAGAGGGAGAGAGAGAGAGAGAGGGATAGAGAGAGAGAGAGAAGAGGGAGAGGAGGGGAAAAAATTGTATGTGGGGCTGGTGATGAATGACATCAGGAGTAGATAATAGGTAAGGAGTGTGACATCAATAAACAAGGGAAATTCGTCATTTACTAGCCTTAGAATACCTACGATTTACTATGCGTAACTCATCCAACTTGAGCTCAAATCGTACACAGTCCATTCGCCTAGTATCGTGCAAAATCGTTTCCTCGTATACACCCGCAATCCGGACTCCCGGAGATATAGACTAAAACGTATGACGCCATTTTCTATTCTGTTGCCAGCAAACTCGATGCGTTCAGAGCCTAATTTGAAACAAAAGGCAGCTACTAACCACAGCTTGCTAACTCAGTGGGCAATGTGGCTCGCTGGGAGATTTGAGCCCGATCTGCTGCTGATTGCGGTTGGCGTGCGTGCGTGGGGGCTTGCCAGCTGTATGCCGGTATGTAGCCGTGTACCGGGTCAAAGGTTATCTCGCCGAGTGTTGCGTTGATGCCTAATCTCCCAGCGAGCCACATGCCTCGCCGAGTTATGAAATATAGAATGTGTGTAAACTTCAATATATATTTATACATGTAGAACAAATACATTTTATTTGTTCAATTTTGTTGTCTGTTACTTAGTTGATGGAAAAATGCTTGGTTATAACTGCCTTTTAGGTATAGGGATACATGTTTATTGTTTATAACGGACCCATGAAATAATTTCAGTACTAATTATGCCAATAACATAAAGATGCATTGGTACGTCACAGGTCAACAGAAATGGCGCTCGATGTATCGCTGCTCGTCACTTCGAAATTTTGTAACAGGTTTTATTAGTTTAATACAGAGTATTGTGATACATAGTAAGTCCCAGGATAGCGGAGAAAGGTTCGTGTTTAGAAGTGAATAAACCCAGTTTGGAAGTTGTAGTCTCGAAAAACGCACCATAAACCCGCCCTGAGTGAATCACTCAGGGGCTCCTCCAAAGAAAAGAATAGGCTCGCATTGTAACCTAGCTCTAGTACTATAGCCCGCGTACATTGACTGCCGCAGGGCTATAGCACATTGTCGGCTGGAAATACCAACTACGACCTGTTACCACCTGTCCCCATGAAAAATGGATCGCAAAACGCAAAGTTATCGGGCTTTTTAACACTTATTTATCTACATGGACATCTCACCTATCT